TGTGAATATGAGAGCAGATGGGGTTGGGGACATGAACTGCAAGAGGGGGTAATGCAAGTGGGGAGGAGGAAGAGGAGGGATGAGGGATAGGTGAGGGGAGCATGGAGGACTCAACTGATACCAGCAGGGCCCAGAATGGCAATAGAAAAGGAATTTATAGCAGATTATCTTTTATTTGGCACAATGCCAAATATCAAGAGAATTTCAGAACAAAAGAGTTTTCATCTACTAATTGCAATGCAACCCAACCATGTTTAAACTAATAAAAAGAATAGCTTTTTGTCATCTTTCAGTGTCATTTTCTGGTTGTAGTAGTGAAAACATCTCTCCAAGTATGTAGAAAAATAAGACAAGGGTGTGTTGAGGCTGGGACAGGTAACAGATTAGCAATTAAGGAGAGGGAACAGGCAGAGAATGGAGAGAAATGGGAAGAAAAAAAAAAAAAAAATTAATGACAAGTGAGGCCACTGCCCCCAAAACCACAGCACAGTGGGTGATACATAACTTTCAGAACAAAATGTACCCCATGAGTACATCTTTACACAGTGCTAAATTTCCTGACAATAGCAAAGCGAGTTTCACCAAAAGCAGACTGCCAGTTTTCCTATTGATTTTATGGACAGTTGACAAAGATCCAGATTTGAACAAGTTGCTCAAAAGCCCGTATCTGGATATGCCAAGCTGCTAATGGAGAAATCTGAATATGACTGTCTTTGGCAGACATGTCCACATGGAATTCTTTTGTACTGATACATGTTTGTCACAAAATAAAAGAAATATTTCTAATGTGACAAAATAAGGTTAAAAAAAAAAATGGAGTATTGCTGACATATATGGGCTGATGCTGAACAAATTTCACTCTCCACAGAGTTCAAAAGCTCTTATGTGGCCTTGTGGGTGATGAATTATTCTCCACACTGCAACCCTTTTCCCACACATAAGATAAGTCTTACTAACCCACAGTGGAGGAGGGGGTTTAGAACAAGTGGATTCATATATCTTTCCCAAAGTTATTTTCACATAAGTGAATATAACAAACCCAACCGGAATTGGAACTTAACTCTCTGATTAACAATTCTGAGCCATTATCCATTACACCAACTGTGCATCCAAGCTTACAGCACCTGGTATTCCCAAACGGTCACCCACCTAAGTATTGACCAGGCTCAACATTGCTTATATGGACCAGTGTTTCAACACTGTGTGACAATAAGCCTCCTCTCCCTTAAGCAGTCTTTGCAGCTTGTATTGGTTGAATAAACAATAAAAAAAAGTGTTGGGGGGTATTCTTCATGACCAAAGAGTCTAAATGCATATATGCCCGTGCTTGCACACACCGACCTAAATCCATATGTGTGCAGAAGGACCATTTTTTCTAATTTTTACCACTTTTAGTTTTACTTTTGGTTTCAATAATAACATTTTTAAAAACAAATCTTTCAATAAGCTTTTCCTTTTCATTTTAAAATCACAGCATTTTTGGGATTTATCTTGTCTGATTTTATTATCATAATTTTTTCTCAGTTTTTGATTATTAAAAAAAATATGTAGAAGCCAAGATTTTCAATGCCAATTTTCAAGACTGGTACAGTTAACATATTCCTCCAATTTGACTGTATTATAATGAAAATATTCAGGATCCTAAAACAGCAATACTACTCGTACTGAGTAATCAACAATACAAACATGGAATAAAGTCAGAAGGAAAAAAAACAGTTGCTGGAAGATTCTGGGTGAAAACCCTGCATTATCCATAAAAGCCTAATGGTTAAAGCATCAACCCTAAATGATGAGTTCCCAAGATATAAAATGCAAGAATGGTATCAAGATTTACTTCTTATTCTGAATTTCTACATTTTGAAATTAGAAGTACAGGTGTTTAGCTTAAAATAACCCCACCCTCAACAAAGAATTCGGTCAGGAGAAGAGGGAGGATGTGAATTTTTTTTTTTAATTTATTAAAGAAATAAAACTTGAATCTGAGTTTTGAATCTGAAGAACAGATTGAAAAAAAAAAAAGAAGAAAATTAAAATAAAAATCTTTTTATACATGAAGAGCCTATGTAAGTTCTTTTTTATCGGCAATATCTAACGTTTGCTGTAATAGTTATCTCCCTTGCAATAGCAATATTGACACTGTTGATTTTCCCAATGGTTAAATGTTCCAAGTCAGATGAAAAAGGACTGTTTGAAGGAGTAAAGCACTAAAATAATAATTAGAAAAATATTTAACAAACAAAGGTGAAATATAATAATAATAATAATAATAATGACTTAAAAAACAAAATCTATAGGGAGCCATGATTGCCTTCATTCTGAATGTACATAGCATTATAAAAAAATTGTGGGGATATGTTTATAAAGTCACATCCCTAAAATAGATAGCAGGCCAACCATCCATAAAAAGGGATACAAGGCCAACAACCATCCACAAAGAGAACACAAGGCCAACAACCATCCACAAAAGGGACACAAGGCCAACAACCATCCACAAAAGAGAACACAAGGCCAACAACCATCCACAAAAGGGATATAAAGTCAAAAATGCCATCAAGAGAGACTCATGCTCAATCCCCACCTCCCCCAGATATCAGGTCACCATTTCAAAAGTTTTGAGTTAATATTGAGACTAAAGTAGCATATGGGTGGGTAATGAGAGAAGTGAAAGGTTTAAGGGTGGAAAAAGATAGAGAATAAGATGCAGCAGATGAAGACAATGACCAGTAGCATGTGGTCAGTTAGAAATGGCTGTAGAAAAATCAATAGATAACAAAATGCTACCATGGAAACAAGATGGGGAAGAAAAGAGAGAGGCAGAGAAGAAAGGATGAAAAAAAAAAGAGGGTGAAAAAAAGTTAGATTGATGGGGAAGAGAAAAAGATGACAGAGAGAAAGCAACAGTGATGAGAGATGAAGAGGAAGTGATAGAAGGAATATAAAGAGGAAAAAGACTGAAAACAGAGAGAGAAGAGAGAAAGATGACAGAGAGAGAAGGGAAGAGAGGAGGGAAAGAGAGAGAGAACAAAATAGAGAGAGAGAGAAGCAAAAGCAGGGAAGAGAGAGAGAGAAGAGAGAGAGAGAGACAAGCAAAGAAGCCAGGTGAGAGAGAGAGAGAAGCAAAGAAGCCAGGGTGAGAGAGAGAGAGAAGCAAAGAAGCCAGGGTGAGAGAGAGAGAGAGAAGTCAGCAAAGAATAGGTGAGAGAGAAGAAAAGAAGCCAGAGAGAGAGAGAAGCAAAGAAGCCAGGGGTGGAGAGAGAGAGAGAGAAGCAAAGAAGCCAAAGAGAGAGAGAGAAGCAAAGAAGCCAGGTGAGAGAGAGAGAGAAAAAGAAGCAGGGGTGAGAGAGAGAGAAGAAAAAGAAGGGTGAAAGAGAGAGAGAGAAGTAAAGAAGCCAAAGAGAGAGAGAAATAAAGAGAGAGAGAGAGAGAGAAGCAAAAGAAGCAGGGAGAGAGAGAGAAGCAAAGAAGCTAAAGAGAGAGAGAAGCAAAGAAGCCAGAGAGAGAGAGAGAACAAAGAAGCCAAAGAGAGAGAGAGAGAAGCAAAGAAGCCAAAAGAGAGAGAGAGAAGAAAGAAGCTAAAAGAGAGAGAGAGAGCCAAAGAGAGAGAGAGAAGCAAAGAAGCCAAAGAGAGAGAGAGAGAAGGGCTAAAAAGAGAGAGAGAGAGAGAAGCAAAGAAGCCAAAGAGAGAGAGAGAAGCAAAGAAGCCAAAGAGAGAGAGAAGCAAAGAAGCAAAGAAGAGAGAGAGAGAGAGAAAAGAAGCCAAAGAGAGAGAGAGAGAGAAGCAAAGAAGCTAAAGAGAGAGAGAGAGAAGCAAAGAAGCCAAAGAGAGAGAGAGAGAGAAGCAAAGAGAAAGAGAGAGAGAGAGAAGCAAAGAAGCCAAAGAGAGAGAGAGAGAGAAGCAAAGAAGCCAGAGAGAGAGAGAGAGAAGCAAAGAAGCCAAAGAGAGAGAGAAGCAAAGAAGCCAAAGAGAGAGAGAGAGAAGCAAAGAAGCCAAAAAGAGAGAGAGAGAGAAGCAAAGAAGCAAAGAGAGAGAGAGAGAAGCAAAGAAGCCAAGAGAGAGAGAGAAGTAAAGAAGCCAAAGAGAGAGAGAGAGAAGCAAAGAAGCCAAAGAGAGAAAAGAGAGAGAGAGAGAAGCAAAGAAGCCAAAGAGAGAGAGAGAGAAGAAGCCAAAGAGAGAGAGAGAGAAGCAAAGGCCAAAGAGAGAGAGAGAGAAGAGAAGCCAAAGAGAGAGAGAAAGCAAAAGAGAGAGAGAGAGAGAGAGAGCAAAGAAGCCAAAGAGAGAGAGAAGCAAAGAAGCCAAAGAGAGAGAGAGAAGAAGAAGAGAGAGAGAGAGAAGCAAAGAAGCCAAAGAGAGAGAGAGAGAAGCAAGAAGCCAAAGAGAGAGAGAGAAGAGAAGCAAAGAGAGAGAGAGAAGAAGAAGCAAAAGAGAGAGAGAGCAAAGAAGCTAAAGAGAGAGAGAGAAAAGAAGCTAAAGAGAGAGAGAGAAGCAAAGAAGCAAAAGAGAGAGAGAGAAGCAAAGAAGCCAAAGAGAGAGAGAGAAGAAGAAGCCAAAGAGAGAGAAGCAAAGAAGAAGAGAAAAAACAGAGAGAGAGAGAGAAGCAAAGAAGCCAAAGAGAGAGAGAAGAGAAGCCAAAGAGAGAGAGAGAAGCAAAGAAGCAAAGAGAGAGAGAGAGAAGCCAAAGAGAGAGAGAAGCAAAGAAGCCAAAGAGAGAGAGAGCAAAGAAGCCAAAGAGAGAGAGAGAAGCAAAGAAGAAGAGAGAGAAGCAAAGAAGCCAAAGAGAGAGAGAGAAGCAAAGAAAAAAGAGAGAGAGAGAAGCAAAGAGAGAGAAAGAGAGAGAGAAGCAAAGAAGCAAAGAGAGAGAGAGAGAGAAGCCAAGAGAGAGAGAAGCAAAGAAGCCAAAGAGAGAAGAGAGAAGAGAGAGAGAGAAGCAAAGAAAAAGAGAGAGAGAGAGCAAAGAGAAGAGAGAGAAGCAAAGAGCCAAAGAGAGAGAGAAGCAAAAAAGCTAAAAGAGAGAGAGAGAAGCAAAGAAGCCAAAGAGAGAGAGAGAAGCAAAGAAGCCAAAGAGAGAGAGAGAGAAGCAAAGAAGCCAAAGAGAGAGAGAGAAGCAAAGAAGCCAAAGAGAGAGAGAGAAGCAAAGAAGCCAAAGAGAAGAGAAGAGAGAGAGAGAGAGAGAAGCAAAGAAGCAAAAGAGAGAGAGAGAAGCAAAGAAGCCAAAGAAGAGAGAGAGAAGCAAAGAAGCCAAAAGAGAGAGAGAGCAAAGAAGCCAAAGAGAGAGAGAGAAGCAAAGAAGCCAAAAAGAGAGAGAGAGAAGCCAAAGAAGAGAGAGAGAAAAGAAGCTAAAGAGAGAAGAAAGAAGCAAAGAGAGAGAAGCAAAGAAGCCAAAGAGAGAGAGAAGCAAAGAAGAGAGAGAGAGAGAAGCAAAGAAGAAGAGAGAGAAAGAAAGAAGAGAGAGAGAGAAGAGAGAAGAGAGAGAGAGAAAAAGAAGCCAAAGAGAGAGAGAGAAGCAAAAAAAAGAGAGAGAGAGAGAAGCAAAGAAGCCAAAGAGAGAGAGAGAGAGAGAGAGAAGCAAAGAAAACCAAAGAGAGAGAGAAGCAAAAGAAGCCAAAGAGAGAGAAAAGCCAGAGAGAGAGAGAGAGAAGAAACCAAAAGAGAAAGAAGCCAAAGAAAAAGAGAGAGAGAGAGAGAGAAGAAAAAGCCAAAGAGAGAGAGAGAGAAGCAAAGAAGCCAAAGAGAGAGAAAGAAGAGAAGCAAAGAGAGAGAGAAAAGAAGCAAAGAAGCTAAAAGAGAGAGAGAGAGAGCCAAAGAAGCAAAGAAAAAAAAGAGAAGAACAAAAAACCAAAGAGAGAGAGAGAAGCAAAGAAGCCAAGAGAGAGAAAAAACCAAAGAGAGAAAGAAGCAAAGAAGCCAAAGAGAGAGAGAAAGAAGCAAAGAAGCCAAAGAGAGAGAGAGATGTAAAGCCAGATTGAGAGGAGAAAGAGAAAGGCAAAGAAAGAGAGATGCAGTGTAGGAATGAGAGAAAGAGAATAGAAATGGGATAGAGAGAAGGGGAAGATAGAAAGAAAAGGGGGGAGAGAGAGAAGGACTGGATTAGAGAGATGTTGAGAAAAATGAGAAACGAAAGTGATAAAGAAAAAAAACAGTATTAATGTTTTATGAATATAAAGCACTAAAGAAGAAGATAAAAAATCAAAAAGAAAACCTGGACAATGGAAAACAGATGGAGAGTGATAGGTGGATACAAATCAATGTTCCATTCTTTAATGTTCAAAGACGGTCTGGCTAGGCTGCAGCATCATTCAACAACCACTTAACCTGTGGCTGGGTGGACATCAGCTTGCAAAACAGAGAGGAATAGAGAGTCAGCTCAGTTACATAAGATAGCCAATCTGGCTTAGACATCTTCTAATCAAACCAACCGAATAACTAAACAATCAACAAAATGACAAAATTCTTAAAGAAAGTGCACTCAATGAACCCTCCAGCTAGAAAAAAAAAAAGAATTTCTTTTAAGAAACAAGGAGCAGAGTAAGAAGGAATGGTGAATGAGGAGGGAATGGATAGGTATAGTCACAACATGGGGACAAAGAGAGAATGAGCCATGGTATCAGGGATAAGCATGACTGCTGTTAGTACTGGCCAATGTCTACAAGGAAAATATCCAGGCCACAAAAGTTACAGGAATTGGCTCAGTGAAAGAACGAAGCACAAGAAAATCAGAGACCTGCAAGAATAAAATGACCATTAGAAAATATTAATAAAAATTCTTTGCCTCTCTTATTTGGCAATCAGTCTAGCTATCTACAAATATCAATGCCAACCATATTGTATTATCAAATATTATTGATATAAACAAACAGAACTTAAAGAAATTTCAAATTTAATGCCCAGAATAAAATGTTTGTCAAAAATATTTGTAGAAATTGACTCAACTCGTAACTGTATGACATATATAGTCACACAAACATTTTTGTCCAGACAACAATTTTCTCCTCTCCCAATTTCTTAGTTGTGCATATATTTGTTTTGTCCGCAATTGAACCCCGAATTGATTGATTTGTTTTTTATGGCTTATCAACCCTTTGTGAGATATTTAAAGCTGAATCATATTTCAGGTTATAGGAGTTTGCTTACAGTAATTTGGTGTTCCCAAGTGGTACCCCATCTAAGTACTGACCAGGCTCAGCACTGCTTAACTTTGGTCTAGTACTGCACTTAAATTCATAAAGTCTAGGTACCAAAGAAGAAAACTCATCAGAACATTTGTCATGAAAATATTTATAGAAAAGGCATAGGAAAGCTATATTAAGGTGGTGAGAAAGTGATTGACAAGGACATCAGGAAATACAATGAAAATATATGAACACCAACAAGAATGAAGCAAATGAAAATCATGAGATGTTTATTTTAAAATTCCTTTCAATTAAATATATTCAATATTATTTTATTACTGGTTTTACTCCAGCTTATTTTTGTTGAATTTTATGTCAACATTGTTGGAAATTGGAAATAAGAGATTTCCAATGAGGCATGAACTTATATATTCCTGTTATTCTAATCAACTTTTACCTGTCTATCCTTTTCTACCAGAATTAATGGTAAGTGTGAAACCCTTATTTCAAATATTGTCTTAAGATAAATAAGATGTCCTATATGGGCAACTGATGCATGAGTTGTCTTCCTTTATTTAGCTGTGTGCCAAACAAAACTTGAATAGCTACATTTGGTCATCCTCTCCATGTGTAAGATAGACATTTACCTACGCTGTTCTGACTTATTTTAGTCTTACAATTTGTAGTTCAATTGGTAGAGCAGTTGACAGAAAAAGACAATGTTATTAGATTTGAGCTTCTATATCTATTGACTTTTGTAGTATGATTGGTAGAGCAACTGATGCATGAAAACTATGGTAAGATTTGAGTTTCTATAACTATTGGCTTCTGTAACCCAATTGGTAGATCAGCTGTTGCATGATGATATTATTTGAGTTGAGTTTCAAAAGCCATTGATTTCTGTAGTCTAATTGGTAGAGCAGCTGATGCATGAAAACAATATGGTAAGATTTGAGTTTCTATAAGCATTGGCTTTGAGAATATATGACGAGAAGGATTTAGCTTAAAGGCATTATTCATATTTAACCTTGCCTGACTGTCAAGAGTTTTCTGTAGCTCATTTATTTAGCTAGAGCATGTTGGATCTAAGGATGGTTCCCTCTATCCAGATGTTCAAACCCTCGTGTAGAATGTATAGTTTTCTTTAATAAGATTTCTTGAATATTCAGGCTGGTAGACAAAAATAAATAAACATGCTGCTTAATAAATAAACAAGGTGTCTACTCAAATATGATTATCAATTAAAAAACATGTCAGATTAATAAATAAAAATCCATTGCTTCTTTGTAAAATTACTAGAGAGAGAGAAAGCAGGGAAAGGTGTTCATACCTTTCCCATTCCTATTTTCTACATCAATAACTATTATGCTACTTGCATATTCACTGTTTTTTGTTTTTTTTCCTTTAAATGGCTTTCAAAAAATAAAGTGTCTTGGGAGTTTCAGATTTTTTTTTTTTTTTGGCAGTGATATTTGGAACATAAAAAGTTCTGCACTTGGTGGATAGGAAGTCATTTCTAAGGTCAACCTGCTGATGCACCTAACTTCTCTGATGGACACTACTGAATTCAAAATCTATTCTCACATTAACTGAGGTGAGTTACATACTACATTACTATTTAACCCATAAATGGAGAGAGAAAGAGAGAGAGAGACAGGAAAGAAAGGTGTTCAGGCCTTATCCAGTTCCACATCAATAACAATTATGTTACCTGCATATTTATTCTTTTTTTTTTTGTTTCTTTAAATGGCTTTCAAGAAATAAAATGTTTTGGGAATTTTTTTTTTTTTTTTTTTTTTTTTTTACAGTGACTTAAATATTTGGAACACAATCAAAAGGAACACAAAAGTAGTCATGTTGCAGTTCATTTCAAAAAGAGGTAATTGCCAATATTAGAATGGAAAATTATGCCATGAAAATGCAGTGGGGAGGATAAAACAGTGTGGAAGTGAAAGTTTAAAATGTATTCTTTTCTAGATAAAAAAAGACATGCTTAATCAACATTATTCTTATGGAGGTGGTGGATTTGTCTTCTGATTCAAGCAAATTTGGCATCAGTGATCACTTTAGAATTGAAGCAAATCCCAATTTAGCTGCAGGGGAGGGGGGATGAGTGTTTAATACTCAATATAATTAGTTAGCAATGAAAATAGAAGGAAGGGAACTTATTGGTGACAAGAGAAGCAAGAGGATTATAAAGAGAAAAAAAATGGTTGGGAAAAATTTTAGTGTTTAAAAAAAAAATTGTTTAAAATCTCATTCATTTTTTTTTGTCTCCAGTGAAATTGCAAAGAAAGCAGGCATAATTGTCAATTAAGGTGAAAAATTTGAAAATTTACTCATCAGGAAGCAAAAGTCTAAAGAATAATGAAGTAAAAGAACTTTAAACAAACAAAGGAAAGGAAAAAGGTATGTAGTCAGAGAAAGTGAAAATTCAATAGAAGCTGGGAGAGGATGTTGTAAAATGAATGGTGGTAGGAGGAAGGGGGATGAGGATGAGGTGAAAATTCAATAAGAGGGGGAGAAAGGATGATGTAAAGGAATGGTAATAGTTGAGAGAGGAAAATGAGGTAATGGTTCAATCAGAGGGTAAAAGAATGGTAGTAAGAGGAAGGGCAAGAAAATGGAAGATGAGGTGAAGATTTAATAGGAAGCAGAAGAGGATGATGTAAAAAGAATGGTAAAAAGACAAGAGAAAAAGATTGGATGAAAATTCACTAGGTGGTGGCAAAGGGGAATGGTATTAGGAGAGAGAGAGAGAGGATGATGAGGTGAAGATTCAATAGCAGAGAAGATAAAATGATAGGGGAAAGTAAAATTCAGATGGAGAGAAGAGGATAACATAAAAAGAATGGTGGTAGGAGGAAAGACAAGAGAGAGAGACAAAATAAAAATGAATTGGGAGGAGGAGCAAAAGAGAATGATAATAAGTGGGAAATCAAGGAGGTGAGAAATCAATGGTGTGATGAGGAGAAGAGAAATTATATAAAAAGGATAATAAAAAAAAGGAGAAAAAATGGGAGGGGGGAAATGGTGGCAGAAACAGGAGTAGAGTAATAAAACGTAGATAATTCCTTTGCTTAGATAGTCTGGCATAAGGCCACAATCATAAAAGTCAAACTCACTTGCAATGGCATGTGAAACCAACCTGATACCTTCAAGAAAAAACAACTTAAATATTGAGCTTTTCTTAAGCAATGAGAGTTGAAATTTGTAGGGCACATAATGAGGAAAGAGGGTTTGGAAAATTTGACACGTGCAAGAGAAACTGAAGCCAAGAGAAACAACAAGTAGCCTACCTAAAAAGTTTGCAGAATAGGGAGTGGAAGAGATTGTGAAAAGATAAAACTTACTGAGAGCTACAAAGGATAGGAAGTTGTGAAGAGCCATGATCTCTCATGTTGTAATGGGACTTGGTACATAGAATAAAAGTTATTGATGTTAGTTTGTTTATCACTTATGCTTAAGTCTTCGAGGACAGAAGGCAAAACAGACAGAAGGGAAAAGAACACATAACTTAGCTAGTTTCATTAAATGAATGGTAGAACAGGGTTAAGGAAAGATAACAAAGACAATATTAAGAGCTACAAAGGGCAGGAAATTGTGGAGAACCATGACTGCCAACGTCCTGAAGGGACACAGAACACAAAAGAAGAAGATGATTGATTCATTCTTTATGGATTATCAACACTTTACAGGTTGAAAAAGAAGCTGAATACCACAGTAAAAGCAATGGCTTGCAAAATGCTGTTCTATCATAGGTACCCTAAATATTAAATTTAGTTTGATACAAGGCAATACTTGAGGAGCACTTACTCAGGAAGAAACTGATAAGCAATGGTTTTTACCATTTCTTTTGTTTATATTATTTTCTCCTCTCTTTGCCAAACAAATTGAAATATCACTTTCTCGTCTTTCTTGTTCTTCCTTCCTCCTACCATCCTTTTTGCTATTATTCCTCTTTGTCTACACCACTGAATACCTCACTTCCTTCACTCTTGCCCTTACTCCTCCTACCATCCTTTTTGCTATTATTCCTCTTTGTCGACACCACTGAATACCTCACTTCCTTCACTCTTGCCCTTACTCCTCCTACCATACTTTTTGCTATTATTCCTCTTTGTCTACACCACTGAATACCTCACTTCCTTCACTCTTGCCCTTACTCCTCCTACAATTCTTTGTTTCAATATAGAAACATATTTTGCAGGTGTAAGACTGCTTGCACAGCAAAACCCAGAACAGCAAGAAATGTATCTATATATGTAATTCACACATTTTGCATATACATATATGGTAAAGATAAAAGATAATTTGGGAATCTCTTATTTGAATAGGTTTCGCTGATCAAACATCATTATCAGAAAAATGTATTTTATCCTGACCAAATCTTCACCAGTGAGACATAAAATTATTCACATTAGACATATGAAAGCTGAATTTTTCTATTTCATTAATTGTCCTTTTTTTTAAATTAAATTTTTCATAATCTCATTCTTTTTATCATATCACACCAAGTAAAGAAATAAAGCCACTAAGCCATAAGACAAGATAACAATTGACATTACATTTAATTTTTTGAATATTAAAGTTAACCAGAAAGCAAGAGGCCAGGTGATAAAATGCAAGATAAGAAACTGTTAGCATTCTGTATTTATTTATAGATTCATTTTTTTTAAGATATTTCATATTCTACATTGGTTAATCTTATTTCAAAAATTATAAAAATAAAAATACAGTAATGGTAATATTAGGGTTGGTTGATTTTAAATTTTAGGTAACACCTCTCTAAAAAAAATTGGACGTCATGAACTAATGGGTTATATAGTTTCATCATACTCATTTAGTAGGAGTTAATTAAACCAATGAAGGCATGAAACTTACTAATTATTAAATTCACAGCATGGCCCCAAAACTTTAGGCCGATAGTGTGTGTGTGTGTGTATTTTTTTAATCAATTCACCCCAAGCAAGACAATAATACCACTAAGGCACAAGGGGATATTGGGGATGAAAGAGAATGAAAAAACTTCAGAAGAAACCCAGTGATAAACTTCTACTTCTGTTCAAAAGACATGGGAGGAGTATGAAGCAGACAACAGGCAAAAATATTTACACCCAAGGAGGGACATAGACAACATCAGCCCAAATGCTTGAGTAAAAACAACAAAGAGAAGGATATTAATCTGTATTATTTCTGTATTGAGAAGCTATCTTATTATAATTCCGCTTATCTCTTCCTTAGTTAGCACAACCATTACACCCTGCCAATACCTCATAAATAATGGACTATACTGTTTTGATCATGTGGAAAAACAAGAAAAGACATATCAGAGACGCTACTCAGTTTCAGTGAGAAAATGTAAGAAAGAAACAGAAGATAAATTTTGTTTAACCTCTGTTTTCAATGAAATGGACAAAGTTGTCAATTTCAAATTTTTCATTTGTACCCTCTTACTTCTTTAAATAACAACCAGCATTCGTATTTATGATTGTTATTATAATGTTTTGTTAAAGTTGCTCAAATATTTTTGATGTGACAAAGGGATTTTTATGGATATTTTATTGTCATAGACGCCATGAGCTTGTTCAATCATTGGGAATTAAAATTAACTCAGAAAATTAAAATAGGAAAACTGTGAAATTTTCATGGCTATTTCTAGTTATTATACATCATCATCATTATCATCATTATTATTATACATCATCATTATTATTATACATCATCATCATCATCATCATGCATACATTCATTCAGTTTCGCATCCTTATCTTGGTTGTTATAGTCACAACATTTCAAACATTGTACTGTCCCGCTTTCTATAGATAAAACAATAAAAACGTCCAGTCCCAAATTCCTGAATACAGCCAACACTTAAAGAAGGCTGGAGAGTAGTGTGGCTAAAATGCAGGGCTCAATAAAGTTCCAAGTTTTCAACAAGTGCAAATATTTCACTGGGAAATATTTGAAGCTTCATGAACAAACAGGAAATTTATTTCTATCCATAGTATGTACATTGTACACAAAAACCTCCAAGGGTATAATTTTTATCGATCCTCACTGAATCCAGAAAAGGAATGATATTTTTAATATATTTCAAAGTACTTTTTTATTTTAGATTTTATGAAAAAATTACTTTCTTATATCTTACTAAGATATTTCTATTCATAATGTAAAACTAGACATAGAGGTTTGTTTCTTTTGTGGATTTTCTTTTTGTTTCAAAAGTTAAGGGGAGATAATCCAACAATCCTGATATTAAATTTCTTTTTTTTTCTTTTTTTTTTCCTCGTTTCTTTCACTTTTCTGGATTTGTTCATTTTACATTTTTTTTTTTTAAAAAAATACTCTTTTTCTTCTCTTTCCTTCCTGTTTTTTTTTTCTTTCATAAAGAAGTAACTCGTTTAGATGAGAAGCACTCACCACTCAGCCATTTTCTTGGGCCCAGATAACAACCAAGATGGAGGCACACGTCTGAGTAAGTCATGGACGAATGACTATGCTTTATCTCAGAATGCGAGATATTAACCAAGATAGAAAAATTCTTCATTTGGCTTTTGATAAATAATGCAAAAAGTGCTTACCAAATTTTAGAGTCAGTAAATTTAGTTTGGTTAGATAATGTGCAAGATAAAAAAAGAAAATTAATTTTCTGCCTTTACTTAGGCTTTATGAATCCATGTCAACTTTCACTAACTTGTCCATGCTTTTATCTAAATGTTGTACAATGAATTAGTTTAATATTCAAAAAAGTATGTTATGTTGGAAATGTAAGGACCTTTGCCCACATTGAATAGTTGAGGTTCCTTGTGACCAATATATCATATCCTTTCATGTTACATCTGGATACTTCATTGATCAATTCATTTTCTACAGCTTATCAACCCTTTGCAGGTTATTTAAAGCCAGAAAATATTTTTAGATTGTAAGAATTTTTTTTTTTTTTGAGATAATAATGGTTTTAGTGATACAAGTTTTACTAATATAATTAACCCATAGCTGGGGAAGAAGAGGTGGATTCATTCCTAATCATAATTTGATAAACAAACAAGAAATTATAATGTGTATATAAACAAAACTAAAAGACATGCCTGTATAGCTAATCAGTATTTCATTGACAGATTGATTCGTTTTCTACAGCTTATTTGCAGGTTATTTAAAGCCAAAAAATATTTTTAGATTGTAAGAATTTTTTTTTAAGATAATAATGGTTTAGTGATACAAGACTTACTAATTAACCCATAGCTGGAGGGAGAAGAGGGGTTCATGCCTAATTGAAATTTAATAAAAAAGAAATTTTAATGTGGGTATGAAGTGGGGGATCAATTTTATATTACAATCAATATATAAACTGATCCCTCACTTTGTGGTCACAGTAGTTTCTATACATTTATATTCTGGATAATGTAAATAAATCTAGAAGACATGCCTGTGAGCTAATCAGTATTTCATTGATTGATTTATTCATTTTCTACAACTTATCAACCCTTTGAAGGTTATTTAAAGCTAGAAAATATTTTTAGATTGTAAGAATTCTTCCTTTTTTTTTTTTGAGATAATAATGGTTTTAGTGATACAAGTTTTACTAATTAATCCATAGCTGGGGGGAAGAAAAGGTGGAGTCATACTTTTCCCAAGGGTAAGTGAACATAACAAACCCAACAGGAATTGCAACTCAGCTATCCAATTAACAATTTCAAGCCATTATCCATTACACCCACATATGCAAATTTAAAGTACCTGGTATTCCCAAGTGGCTACCCATCTAAGTACTGACCAGGCTTAACATTGCTTCACTTCAGTAATAGTACAGGAACCGGCATTTCAATGTGACATGGCTGTAAGCTTGTGGATTCTTGATATCTGTCATAGGTAACTTAGCAACTGACAACTTGTAAAATTTATCTCTCCTTGGAACTATCTTAGAAATCATCTAAGAACTCCTTTACTGTTTCTTAAGGGGTTTTTATATAGAGAGCTATTTGCATCTACAATGACTTACAAGAATAGTTCATGGAGTGAGCAGGCGATACCCAAAAATATTCAGATTTTTTCTACTGCATCCTCTCTTTCATTTTCTTTTGACCTC